CACGATCTTGGCTCATGGCAACCTCTGCCTCCCCGGTTCAAGCAAGTCTCCTGCCTCAGCCTCCCGAGTAGCCGGGACTACAGACGCCGCCACCACGCCCAACTAATTTTTTGTAATTTTAGTAGAAACGGGGTTTTACCGCGTTAGCCAGGATGGTCTTGATCTCCTGACCTTGTGATCCACCCACCTCGGCCTCCCAAAGTGCTAGGATTATAGGCAGGAGTCACTGCGCCCGGCTGGAGATGCCCATATTTAATAGAGAACCAAGTGGGTGTAAGAGGGGCCCAGGGAAAACAAAGAGGAACGTTCCTGGTTTGTGCTTACTACCACTCTCATGGCGGAGGTCTCTCAGGTTTGTTGACAATCTGGCCCCTGCCCACCACTCCAACCTCTCCTCCCTCCACGTTCCCATGAGCTTACCCTGCTCCATCCACAATGACCTTCTGTCTGCCTGTCAAATTCTTTCTGCTTTCGTCTGCCTCAGGGTCTCTGCACAAGCTGTCCCCTCTGTCTAAGCTACTCTTACCCCAGATCCTCATTCAGATCTCAACTCAAGTGTGACCATCTCAGTGAGGTCTCTCCTGACAGCTCGAGCTATGGCAGCATCTCGACCCCACCACTCTCTAACACGTGGCTCTATTTTAGTTTCTTTGCGGCAATGACCAGTACATGAAATTATATAGGTGTCTGTCAATGTTGCTGCTTGTCTTCCTATACCAGACTATAAACCACACAGGGTCAGCTAAAGCGTATCCCCAACACCAAGACTGCTTGGTTCATAGAGGGTGCTTTTACGTACACGGCTCTGTCAGAAGTCTCATTGCAACCCTGTTAGGTACATAGTCTGATAAGGCTGAGAGGGAGCTTAGTATCATGATTTAGAGCAGTGCTGTCCAGTATGGTAACCACCAGCCCATGTAGCTATGTCGATTTACATGCATTATAATTACATAAAATTAAAACTTCATTTCCTTAGTTGCATTAGTGTCACCTCAAGTGCTCAGCACCACATGTGGCTAGTGGCTACCATTCTGGGTAGCCTGGATATAGTACATTCCTATCACTGCAGAAAGTTCTATTCGACAGGGCTGGTGTACAGCATGCACTGCAGATTCAAACACTTAGCTTCGAATCCCAATCCTGCCAATTACTAGTGGTGTGATTTTGAGTTGACCTTATGCTTTTAGATCTCACTTTTTTCATCTATAAAATGAAGCTAGTAACAGTTGCCATCTCATAGTGTTGTAGGAGTTATTACAGGCAAAGGCCCTTAGAAGAGCATCTGGGACGTAGCCAATGCTAGGAAAAGTATCAGCTGTTGCTGTCACACCTCCATTTTTACTCCTTGAGAAATTGAGGTCCAAAGAAAAGAAATCCTTGTCCTAGTGCACAGAGCCCGGAGGTGGAGGGAGCTGAGCTTTGATCCCATACCTTTATGATTTCAGAGCCTGGCTAAATCTGATGACACTTTTCAGGTCCCTTTCCCTTCTGGGAAAATCCCTTACACTTCTGACCCATTGCTCCCTTATCTGTTCAGTGGGGGACAGAAGACTCCAAGGGGTCCTCTATCCAGGATAGACACGAAGGAGCTGACTGGAGAGCCAGCCAGAGCCCAGGACATGGGTTGTCTATTCTAGGGCCTAGCCAGTGGCTTGGGACTCCTTGGAGGTTGGGAAGCCAGGCTGCCTAGGACACAGAAGCATTGGCGTGGCTGAGCAGGTCATGCCAGCTGCAGCCGAGACCCCTTGTGTGGGCGCTGCCTCGTGGGTGTAATGGCCACTGCGGCAGGGACAGAATGCTCATCCCTCCCACCTGATCGAGCTCTGGGATTGCCTCAGGAACTGCACAGAGGGGTTGAACTATTTCCATTAATTTCTTGGTAGAAGCCTCAGATGCTGCTGCTGCTGCTGGCTTAATTTTTAAATGTAGTTACTTTTAATATGCGCAGTCCCTATGCTTCTACTGTTTCGTTTTGTTTTGGTGACATGGGATTTTTTAAACTGCTATTTTTAGAGCTTTTAACACATTTTTCTACATTTAAAAATTTTTAAATTGAGGTAAAATTCCTATGATGTAAAACTAACCATTTCAAGTGTACAATTCAGGGGCCTTCAGTGCATTCTCAATGTTGTTCAACTGTCACCTATATCTAGTTCTAGAACATTTTCCTTACTCCTCACTCCATCTTAGTAAGCAGCCATTCCTCTTTCCCTCCCCATTCCTAGTCCCCGGCAACCACTATCTACTTTTTGTCTCTAAGGGTTTACCTGTTCTGGATATTACATATCAATGGAATCATAGACTAGGTGGTCTTTTGTGTCTGTCTGCTTTTACTTAGCATAATGTTTTCAAGGTTCACCCATGTTCCAGCATGTATCAGTACTTGATTTCTTTTTACAGTTGAATAATATCCTATTATATGGCTATACCACACTTCACCCATTAATCTGTTGATGGACATTCCAATCATTTCCATATTTTGACTCCAGTGGATAGCGTTGCCGTGAACATTCATGTGTAAACATTTGTTTAATTACCTGTTTTGAATTCTTTTGGGTACATTACCCAGGAGCGGACTTTCAGAGTTATACGGTAGCCTATACTTAACTTTTTGAGAAACTGCCAAACTATTTTCTACAGTGGCTATACCAATTTACATTTCTACTAGCGATGGATAAGAGCTCTAATTTCTCCACATCCTCTCAATATACTTTAAAAAATTCACAATGATACGGCATAATAATATAATCATTAATAAATGTTGCTATCATTAATAGGAGGAGACTGAGGCTCAGGGATATAGTCCATTGAGCAAGTTCATGCATCTGTGTGGCGAGCAGAACAACTGTCCCTGAAGATACCCACATCTAACTTCTGGCACCTGGGAGCGTGTTACTCGCAGACGTGATAAAAATAAGATTGTTAATCAGCTGACCTTGTGGGGAGATGATCCTGGATTACTGGGGCAGGTCCAACGTAATCACAAAGGATCTTGTCAGTGAAAGAGGGAGGGAAATGGGTAACAGAGGGAGACAGAATGATGAAAGCGGGGAATCAGAGCAATGTACGGCGAGAAGATTTGACCGACCATCGCTGGCCTGAAAATGGGAGAGGGCCGGAGAGAGATTTGAAGATGCCGTGCTGTTGGTTTGGAGGATGAAAGAAGCCGACCAGGCGTCAGGAATGCGGGCAGCCTGTAGAAGCTGCAGAAGGCAGGGAAACAAATTCTTCCTAGAGCCTGCAGAAAGAACGTAGCTTTACCAACGCTTTGCACTCGGTCACCCCACTTCAGACTTCTCAATGCCAGAGCTGTATGATAATAAATTTATGTCGTTTTAAGTCACAAAATTGATGGTAATTCATTATAGTAGCAAGAAGAAACTCATGCCGGCTATCGTGTGGTGGGGCAGGGATTGGCATCCACACTGGATTGACTCAGTGTCTGTGGTTCCAACTGATTGTCCATGACTATAATGACCAGGTTTTTTGCCGTCTCCAGGTCCAGCACCACTTCCCGCTCCACATAGACATAAGTGGATCTCACAGACATCACGTTGGGTTAAAAAAAAAAAAAAAAAAAAAGATCCCAGCACTATGGGAGGCTGAGGAGGGCGGATCACGAGGTCAGAAGTTCGAGACCAGCCTGACCAACATGCTGAAACCCTGTGTCTACTAAAAACACAAAAATTAGCCGCGTGTGGTGGTGCGTGCCTGTAATCCCAGCTACTCGGACGGCTGAGGCAGGAGAATCGTTTGAACCCGGGAGGTGGAGAGTTGCGATGAGTTGAAATCGTGCCATTGCATTCCAGCCTGGGCAACAGGGTGAAACCCCTCTCAATACATAAATAAATAAATGGCAAGTTGTGCAAGAAAGATTCAGTGAAACACCAGTTAGAATAAACGCAAAAACACAAAAAATGGTATTACACAGGTGTACTGGAGCCAGCTTATCATGAGGGTCAATTGTTACATTTTCAGTTTTCTACATTTAAAACATTTTTAGACTGAGGTAAAATTCCTCAATTTAGCTGTTTGCCTAACATAGCCCAATACTCAAAACTAAATCGTATAAACTTGAACATAAATAAGTTATAATAAAAATAAAGTAAGAAGCACTAAAAGCTCATCACTTCCTACTTGTGGCTCCCAAAACATGGTGGCGGTGGTGGTTGGTGTGCGGTGGGTGGGGCAGGTGCTACTGTGTAATGGATAGGGACCAGAGATGTTGCTAAATATCCCACAAAGCGTAAGACAGCCCCCCCCACAAAAACGATCTGGTCCTAAATGTCAGCTGTGCCAACATTGAGATATCCTGATCTTTCCTAAAGCATTAATTCCTCATGAGTGAGGCCAGTATCTGACTCATCTCTGTCCCCAAATCACAGTCTGGCAGAGAGGATATTGCTAAAGAACATTAATGATGCTCTGCATCCCAGGCATTTGTTGCATTTAAACCCTAGTGTTATGAGTTAGGGACTATGATTATATTTGATAAAGGAAAGAAACAGCTGTGCTGGTAATGAGGCTGCTAAGGAAGGACGGAAAATCAAAACGTAGGACTAATCAGAAAAATCCAAATATGCTCCCCCAACCAATCACAATAGCCTCTAATTAGCCACTGCCAGCTTCCTTATGTCAACAGCCTCCAATCAGGCACTCCTGAAGCCTTCCCTTTCTTTCACTATAAGCTTTCCCACTACCCTGCCTGCCTTCGAGTCTGTGGCAAACACAAATGGCGTCAGTTGACTCCCATTTATTATAGCAAGCTCTGAATTAACAGCCTTTGCTTGTTTTCATTGGGTGGTCTTTATTTCCACATAGCACAGGGTGTGAAAAGCCTTCTGCATGTTGCACGCCTTGTTTCTTCTCCTCGTTATAACAAATCCTGTGGGGTCACGTTTTCCCAGTGATGAGTTGCCAGGACCATGTGCTCACAAAGGAGGGGAGCTGCAGAATATGGCAAATGGCCAACAAGAACTCTCCCCTCCAGCCTACTCTGAAGGATCGCTGAGGTGCCCCTGATGTACATGAGATGGTCCAGCTCGTACTAGGGATTGAAACATAGATAGTACCAGAGATGGCAGCAGGACAGAGACCCCTGCAAGAGTGGACATCCCTCCACACCTGGAACTCTTTCCTTCCAGGAGACCACATACAATCCTCTGTTTCTATCAGGCTTGATGGAAGTACCATAGAAGCCTTCAGAGCTGAGACAGACCAGCAGTCTCTACACTCTACCTTTATCCCAGGAGTCCAGGGGGATTCTGGGTCAAGTTCACATCCCCGCCAACAGCCAAAGCTCTTGACTGTCCAAGCAATTTCTAAGAATTACCAGTGGAAACAGTTCCCTGTGGCTGCTACGAAAAATTATTACAAACTTAATGGCTACAACAATACAAATTTACTATCATACAGCCGTGATATGACAGTATCCCATGAGATTAAAAATACCATTATTCGAATTTTATAGGTGAAGAAAATGAAGCACACGGTGGTTAAGTAACTTGCTTAGGGTACATAAGCTAGTAAGTGCTTGAGATAATTAACGTAGACATCTTTGGAAAGGAATGTACACAAAAATGTAAAAGCAATACTTAGGTCTGAGTAGAAATATGATAGATGTTGTTTGTTTGCTTTGTTGTTTTTCTGAAATTTACAGTATGTCTAGGACTGAGGCCCACAAACTTTTTCTATAAAGGGCCAGACAGTAAATATTTTAGGTTTTTCGGCCCAGATGGTCTCTGTCACAACTACAAAACTCAGCCTTGTAGCCTGAAAGCAGCTGTAGACAATATATAGTGAAATGGCATGGTTGTGTTCCAATAACACTTTATTCGTGGACACTGGAATTCACATTCTATGTAATTTTCATGTCATGAAATATTTTCTTTTGTCTTTCCCCTCCAACCATTAAAAAATGTAACAATTACTCTTAGCTCATAGACCCTACAAAAACAGGAGGAAGGCAGATCTGGCCAGCAGATCATAGGATGACAAGCATCACACTCAGCATGAAACTGTTCTAAAATATTGCTTTAAGATGAAAAAGCAGATACAGTTCTTTGGTCAGCAGTTGGTGGCGTGGGCACAGGTCTGGAGACCTGCCAGCCTCCAGGCAGGCTAGAGGGCAGGTGTGGGCAGTTAGTTTTGTCCCTGGAGCCTGGGAAGACGGTGGGTGACCAGACAGTCCTGTCTATCCTGAGAGGAGAACATTCAGCTCAAATCCCAGACCCACTATGCACAGATCAGAGCCATTTCTGAAAATGTCGCTGCTGATTCTGCTTTTCCTGGGATTGGCAGAAGCCTGTACTCCTCGTGAAGGTAATGCTTCCAGCCACGCCTTGTGTCCCCTGTGTACTTTCTTACAACTGGGGAGGTTCTCGTGGGCTGGATTCAGAGAGAAGCTCCTGAAGTCTAACGGACTTCTTGCTTCCCATTTAGACATTCACATTTCCCTTGATGGACACGGTGGGGTGACTGAGTCTAGGTTGCTAGCCCCCGCCCTTGGAGATACGCTTGTGTCTGCATCCTGGTTTCTATCACGGATTCTTTGTGCCTTTGGGGAGACATTGCTTCTGCAAGCCTTGCTGTCCTCATCTGACCAACGGGGCTCACAAGAATCCCCAGTTCATGGGACAGTTGTATGTCATTGACGAGCTTATGTTGTGCAGTGCCTGGAAGTCAGCATTACTGTAGTCAGATAATTCTAGTGAGACTCCAGACCTCTGCAACGTAAAGACACCGAAGAGTATATTGGGAAGAGGACTTGGGTCTTGCCACAACTCTGAGTTCCCGTTTCCTCATTTGATCCACAAATGTTAATTCCTGGTTCTTTCCACGGGCTTGATGCTGGGAATACAGTGATGAAAAAGACAGAAATAGTTCTGTCTTCATGGGATTCTCATGCTAAACAAACACATTCTAGTGTGGGGATTTGGAGATGGCCTCTCTAGGAGAGTCACATTTGAGGTAAGGAATAGGAGATGGCCAGCTGAAGAGTCAGGAGAGACTATTCCAGGCAGAGACCTGAATATGCAAAGGTCCTGGGGCAGAAGGCATGGAGTCCCTTCCTCAGAGAGAGGCTGGTGTGTCAGGAACTTGGTAGACAGAAAGAGGGGCATGGCAGTGGGACTGTTACAAGTAAGAAGAGAGAGGAGGCAGGGAACAGAATAGACAGGGGCAGGTGGGTCACAGGAAAAATTCTGGAGGGTATCCTAAGTGAAAAGGGAGCTGTTAAAGGGTTTTCAGCAAAGGAGCATCATATTTAGGAGTGTGTGTGTATGTGTATGTGTCCGTGTGTGCGTGTTTGAACAATCTGTCTTGCCCCTCAGGAAAGAATGGATTAGGCGGGAATCAGAGTAGGGGCAAACACACAAGTTAGAACATGTTTTGGTCATCAGGGAGAAGATGGCAAACACACAAGTTAGAACATGTTTTGGTCATCAGGGTGAAGATGGGGATACGCAGAAGGTTATGAGACATTGAGGAAAGAGCTCACAGGATTGACTGATGGGTCAGATGCTGGTGGCTGGGGAAAGAGAAGCGTGCAGAAAGGCTCTTTTTATACATACATGTATTTGCAACTGGCTGCCCTTAACTGAGATGAGAAAACTCTGTAGAGGCCGGGCGCGGTGGCTCACACCTGTAATGCCAGCACTTTGGGAAGCCAAGGCGGCTGGATTATTTGAGATCAGAAGCTCAAGACCAGCCTGGCCAACATGGCGAAACCCTATCTCTGTTAAAAGTACAAAAATTAGCCGGGCATGGTAGTGGAGGCCTGTAATCCCAGCTACTCAGGAAACTGAGGCAGGAGAATCGCTTGAACTCAGGAGGTGGAGGTTGCAGTGAGCCGAGATCCTGCCATTGTACTCCAGCCTGGGCAACAGAGCAAGACTCTGTATGTTTCAAAAAGAAAAAAGAAAAAAAAAAAAAACAAACAAAAAACTCTGTAGAGGAACACGTTTTTTAAAAAATTTATTTTGAAGTTATAGAAAAGTCACAAAAATTGAGCTTCTGAATATTCTTCGCCCAGTTATCTCAGCTATTAACATCTTACCTAACCATAGCACAAGGATCAGAAGCAAGACCCAACACCAGAACAAAACTATTGAAGAAATTACAGACCTCATTCAAATTTTACTAATTTTTCTACTGACAGAAAAACTATTCTATTTGAGGATCCGATCCAGGATCCCACCTCACATTTTACATTAAAAAAAAATTTTTTTTTTGGCCTAAAATCTAGTTCGTGCTCAACCACGCTGCATTTCGTTATCCCGTCTCCTTTAGTCTTGTGATTTGTCCTTAGAACTAATGTGATTGAACCTCCTCAATCTTTGTCTTTTCATGACCCTGAAACATTTGAAGAGCTCTGCTCAGTTGTTTTGCAGAATGTCTCTCAATTTGGGTTCGTCTGAAGCTTTCTCATGACTGCATTGAGACTATGCCTTTGGGGCAGGAATTTGGCAGAAGTGGTCTCATACCCTTCCCAGAGAACTATATCAGGGATCCCATGATGTTGATGTACCTTATTATCCACGGTGTTAACTTTAGTCACTCAGCTAAGGTGATGTCTGCCAGGTTTCTCCACTGTTAAGTTAGTATTTTCCCCCTTTGTAATTAATAAATATGCTGGGGGAGAAATGTTGAGGCTGTGCAAATACCATTTCTCCTCCAGTGTTTGCCCATTAATTTTAGCCTCCATCTGTGGCTCTTGCTTGCAGAAATGACTGCTACGGTGTTTCCCCAATGGTGATTTTCTATTCCCCTTATTCCTTCTACATACATTCAATGGGATTTCTCTGTAAGGAAAAGCTGACTTTTCTTCCCTGTTTATTTATTCAAGTACTGTATTTATTTATATCAGTGTGAACTCAGAGAGATTGATCGTATTGGTTGGGTGCAGTGGCTCAAGCCTTTAATCCCAGCACTTTGGGAGGCCAAGGCAAGAGGATCACTTGAGGCCAGGAGTTTGAGACCAGCCTGGGCAACATAGTGAGACTCATCTCTACAAAAAAATAGTAAGAATAACAAGTATTGCATTAGCAGATTATTTTTTGATGGACAGGAGTGTGATGACCACAGATTCTTTCTTGAACAGGCTAAGCCTGAAGTACCTGTAAGACGTTTGGGACATTCATAGATAGCAGGTTCTGTGAGAACAGAGTTTGGGATGTCTAGTGTACTCTTATACCAGAATTTCTCTTTCCAATCAGCCTTACAAACACCTATGGAGCAGGAGCTGAATCTGATTTATCTGTGTCTCCAGCACCAAAACATAGGCCAATGCCCAGATCAGGTACCATGTAAACGTTGATTGGATGGAGGATGAATGAATGGATGTATCGATGGACGGATGGGCTGACAGATAGGCCCCAGTAGCTTTATTGAGAGCAGTGAGTGGGTCAGTTGGTCTCCAGGGACACTTCTATCTCTGGTCTTCTTGGTTATTGCACTGATCTGAGTCTAATGCTGATTTCTCTCTCTGCTCCCTGCTCCCTGATCCTGTTGTGAACCGGCTGGCTGATGCTTTTGTCTCCAGTTGCAACTAAAGAAAAAAGTAAGAACTGTGGAACCCCCAAGTCTGTATTTTCATAGCTACCTCCCCTAAAATTCTTCTGGATCTTGCGACCTCTCTGGCAATTCTGGGGAAGGGTGGGACTTGGATCTGGTGCACGGACTTGCCGTGGGGTCTGGGAGTGACTCGGAAAAGCAAACCACCTTTCTGTTGTGGTCTTACGGTGATGCTCACAACTAAAAGAGCAGCCCTCCTTCATTCCTTTGTCTGGGGAAGAGAGGCTCGCTGGGAAAATGAAGAGCATTTATCAGGGAAGAGAGATGTCAGGCAGATCTCCATTAGAATAACACCTTGACTTATGTATAACACCAGCTGGTGGTTTGCAAACTTCATGGTCTTAGGGCCTCTGAACACGCTAAAAAAATTACTGAGGATCTAAAGAGTTTTTTTTCCCCAGCGAGGGTTTTATTTATTTATTTATTTATTTATTTACTTCTGAGACGAGCCTCGCTCTGTTGCCCAGGCTGGAGGGTAGTGGCGCGATCTGCGTTCACTGCAACCTCCACCTCCCGGGTTCCAGCGATTCTCCTCCCTCAGCCTCCTGAGTAGCTGGGACTACAGGCTGCATGCCACCATGTCCAGCTAATTTTGTATTTTTAGTAGAGACAGGGTTTCACCATGTTGGTCAGGCTGGTCTTGAACTCCTAACCTCAGGTGATCTGCCTGCCTCAGCCTCCCAAAGTGCTGGGATTACACGCGTGAGCCACTGTGCCTGGCCAAAGGTGTCAGTAAAATATCTTTATTGACATTTACCTTATTATAAATTCAAGGATTTTTAACTTAAAATATTTATATATACAAATACTATATTTACAAATATTTATATTTACAAAAAATATTTGTATTCACAAATAAGCACATAAAAAGATGCTCAACCTTATTAGCCATTAGGAAAATGGAAGCCAAAGCCACAATGAGGTACCACTATACACTAACTAGGGTAGAGAAATTAGATCCCTCATATGCTGCTGGTGGGAATGTGAAATGATACAGCTGCTTTGGAAAACAGTCTGGGTGTTCCTCAAAATGTTAAATGCTGAGTTACTCCGCAATTCTGCTCTAGGTATGTGCTCAAGATAAATGAAACGTAAGTCCACACAAAAACCTGTGCACAAATGTTCACAGCAGCACTATTCCTAAGAGCTAGCAAAGTGGAGGTAATCCTGGCGTGCATCAATTAATGAACGGAGAAACAGAATGTGGTCTATGCATACAATGGAATATTATTCACCCACAAAAAGAAACAAAGTTCTGATGCATTCAACAACATGTGTGAGCCTTGAAAACATTATTCTCAGTGAAAGATGCCAGTGATAAAAGATCACATATTACCTGATTCTGTTTACTGCATATGAAATATTCAGGATAGGCAAATCCATAGAGACACAATCGACGTTAGTGACTTCCAGGGGGTGAGGCGTGGGGGAATTTAGGGACGATGACTAAGGGGTTCAGGGTTTATTTTGGGGTGATTAGAGGCTCTAAAATTGGTGTAGTGATGGTTGCACAAGTCTGAGTATCACACAAACCATTGAAATGGGTGAATTGCACGGTATGCGAATTATATCTCAGTAAAGCTATTATTAAAATATCTATTACTGCATTTAAAAATAAGGATAATAGACTCAGAAGGAAGGAGGGTGGCAGCGAGGTGAGGGATGAAAACTACCTATTGGGTACAACGTACATTACACAGGTGCTGGTGCACTAAAATCCTAGACTTCACTACTACACAATTCATCCATGTCATCAAAAACCACTTGTACCCCTAAAGCTACTGAAATTAAAAATATTTTTAAAATAAGGATAATAAATATACATATTGACATAAATGTTTTAGTGAAATGGCTGTTTCCCAACCAAAAAAGTTTAGTGAGAAGAAAGGTATTATTTTACATTTTTGCAAATCTCTTTGACATCTAGTTTAATAGAAAACAGCTGAATTCTCATTTCTGCTTCAGTCTGTCACAATGTGCTATTTCTTTTTTTTTTTAGTTTTATGTATTTATTTATTTTCGAGACATAGTTTTGCTCTGTTGCCCAGGGTGGAGTGCAGTGGCACGG